AATGAGAGCATAGGCAATGGGGTCGAAGAGGTATGGGGTAGGTTTAAAAATGTAGTGTTAGAGTGTTCAGCAGAAGTTTGTGGTTACAGGAAAGTGGGTGCGGGAGGGAAGAGGAGCGATTGGTGGAATGATGATGTAAAGAGAGTAGTAAGGGAGAAAAAGTTAGCATATGAGAAGTTTTTACAAAGTAGAAGTGATGCAATGAGGGAAGAGTATATGGAGAAAAAGAGAGAGGTTAAGAGAGTGGTGAAGCAATGTAAAAAGAGAGCAAATGAGAGAGTGGGTGAGATGTTATCAACAAATTTTGTTGAAAATAAGAAAAAGTTTTGGAGTGAGATTAACAAGTTAAGGAAGCCTAGAGAACAAATGGATTTGTCAGTTAAAAATAGGAGAGGAGAGTTATTAAATGGAGAGTTAGAGGTATTGGGAAGATGGAGGGAATATTTTGAGGAATTGTTAAATGTTGATGAAGATAGGGAAGCTGTGATTTCGTGTATAGGGCAAGGAGGAATAACATCTTGCAGGAGTGAGGAAGAACCAGTTGTGAGTGTGGGGGAAGTTCGTGAGGCAGTAGGTAAAATGAAAGGGGGTAAGGCAGCCGGGATTGATGGGATAAAGATAGAAATGTTAAAAGCAGGTGGGGATATAGTTTTGGAGTGGTTGGTGCAATTATTTAATAAATGTATGGAAGAGGGTAAGGTACCTAGGGATTGGCAGAGAGCATGCATAGTTCCTTTGTATAAAGGCAAAGGGGACAAAACAGTGCAAAAATTATAGGGGGATAAGTCTGTTGAGTATACCTGGTAAAGTGTATGGTAGAGTTATTATTGAAAGAATTAAAAGTAAGACGGAGAATAGGATAGCAGATGAACAAGGAGGCTTTAGGAAAGGTAGGGGGTGTGTGGACCAGGTGTTTATAGTGAAACATATAAGTGAACAGTATTTAGATAAGGCTAAAGAGGTCTTTGTGGCATTTATGGATTTGGAAAAGGCATATGACAGGGTGGATAGGGGGCAATGTGGCAGATGTTGCAGGTGTATGGTGTAGGAGGTAGGTTACTGAAAGCAGTGAAGAGTTTTTACGAGGATAGTGAGACTCAAGTTAGAGTATGTAGGAAAGAGGGAAATTATTTCCCAGTAAAAGTAGGCCTTAGACAAGGATGTGTGATGTCACTGTGGTTGTTTAATATATTTATAGATGGGGTTGTAAGAGAAGTAAATGCGAGGGTCTTGACAAGAGGCGTGGAGTTAAAAGATAAGGAATCACACATAAAGTGGGAGTTGTCACAGTTGCTCTTTGCTGATGACACTGCTCTTGGGAGATTCTGAAGAGAAGTTGCAGAGATTGGTGGATGAATTTGGTAGGGTGTGCAAAAGAAGAAAATTAAAAGTGAATACAGGAAAGAGTAAGGTTATGAGGATAACAAAAATATTAGGTGATGAAAGATTGGATATCAGATTGGAGGGAGAGAGTATGGAGGAGGTGAATGTATTCAGATATTTGGGAGTGGACGTGTCAGCGGATGGGTCTATGAAGGATGAGGTGAATCATAGAATTGATGAGGGAAAAGGGTGAGTGGTGCACTTAGGAGTCTGTGGAGACAAAGAACTTTGTCCTTGGAGGCAAAGAGGGGAATGTATGAGAGTATAGTTTTACCAACACTCTTATATGGGTGTGAAGCATGGGTGATGAATGTTGCAGCGAGGAGAAGGCTGGAGGCAGTGGAGATGTCATGTCTGAGGGCAATGTGTGGTGTGAATATAATGCAGAGAATTCGTAGTTTGGAAGTTAGGAGGAGGTGCGGGATTACCAAAACTATTGTCCAGAGGGCTGAGGAAGGGTTGTTGAGGTGGTTCGGACATGTAGAGAGAATGGAGCGAAACAGAATGACTTCAAGAGTGTATCAGTCTGTAGTGGAAGGAAGGCGGGGTAGGGGTCAGCCTAGGAAAGGTTGGAGGGAGGGGGTAAAGGAGGTTTTGTGTGCGAGGGGCTTGGACTTCCAGCAGGCGTGCATGAGCGTGTTTGATAGGAGTGAATGGAGACGAATGGTTTTTAATACTTGACGTGCTGTTGGAGTGTGAGCAAAGTAACATTTACGAAGGGGTTCAGGGAAACCGGCAGGCCGGACTTGAGTCCTGGAGATGGGAAGTACAGTGCCTGCACTCTGAAGGAGGGGTGTTAATGTTGCAGTTTAAAAACTGTAGTGTAAAGCACCCATCTGGCAAGACAGTGATGGAGTGAATGATGGTGAAAGTTTTTCTTTTTCGGGCCACCCTGCCTTGGTGGGAATCGGCCAGTGTGATAATAAAAAAAAAATAATATAAGAACTTAAGAAAGTAGGAACACTGCAACACCCCTGCTGGTCCATACTAAGCAGGTCCTTCACAAATCCAACCCACTAACAGAACAAATGCTACCCAAGCAATAAGCTCAGGTGCAAGTCTGACTCAAATCCAACCCCTCTCACTCATGTATGTATTTATCCAGCCATAGCTTTTAGAACATAAGAAAGGAAGAACAGTGCAATAAGCCTGTTGACCCATACTAGGCCGGTCCTTCACAAATCCAACCCACTAACAGCATAACTGCTATACCCAAGCAATAAGCTTTGATAAACTTATTTACTCATGTGCAAGACCAATTCAAAGCCAACCCCTCTCACTAATGTATTTATTCAACCTAAATTTGAAACTACCCAATGTTTTAGCTTTGATCACCCTACTAGGTAGACCGTTCCACTCATCAACTACCCCTATTACCAATGTTCATTTATACATTTTATTAGTGCTCTACGTTTATTTGGCATTCTTTTTTACATGCATGTAAATCTATCTATAAGCTAGGTAAGTGGCCCCTGAAGTGACCTAGAGTCATAAGAACATAAGAAAGGAGGAACACTGCAGCAGGCCTGTTGGCCCATACTAGGCAGGTCCTTTACAATTCATCCCACTAACAAAACATTTGCCCAACCCAATTTTCAATGCTACCCAAGAAATTGTTGGTATTATATACCATTCTTGCACAACCAAGAAATAAGCCCTGATAAGCAAGTCCCACTCAAATCCAACCCCTCTCACTCATGTATTTATCCAACCTCTCCTCCTTATGGAGGGGGATTCCACTTCCAAACAATAACCTCTCTTCCCTCTCTCCTCCTCCCTGTCTTCCATTCTTCAACAACAGCCTTCAATAAAGGTAACTGTCATGTTGAATGTTTATTCTTTTGTGCATGTAAATCTATCTTTAAGGTAAAAAAAATTTTTTGTTGATACTTCTGGGTGTCAGGAACGGATTAATTGTATTTACATTATTTCTTATGGGGAAAATTGATTCGAAAATCGTAGATTTTGATAATAGTAGCACCTCCAGGAACGGATTAATTACGAAAAACGAGGGACTACTGTACTATCATATAGGAATGAGAGATTAAGACAGAATTCCCCCTTTCAGTGCATCTTGACTACATTTCATTTTAATTCTGATAATGTCAGATTTAATGTCTCCCCAAGAAAAGCAAAATCTGTGCCCATTTCTTTTACAGCAACTAGAACTTCTCTATCCATGCTATCTTTTCTTCCTCTTCCCTTTGTCAATTTATACCACCTGCTAAAGTTGTCTTATTACATATATACTGTAATACAGTAAAGGAAAAAAAAATGTCTGAAAATTACATTTTGGACAGCTTACAATATAAGCAATATTATAATCAGTTTTATAATGCTATGGTACCATATAAAAATTACATTGATATAATCAGCTGTATAAAATTACACACAAGTGTACAGTGACCATCTGTGTCATGGAAGTAACAAAGTATTGTTGCAGCTTATTAATGGCATGGTCCCAGCTGCACCACAAGAACAGACTATGACATTTATAAAAGGGTACAATTCCAGTAACAATGGAATGGTTTCATTATGCACAAACATTAAAGGACAATATAAATTTTAGTAGTAATGGTCACATTTTTCAAAGATATACCAAAATTGTAGCTCAAATTCACCTGATACAGAGTGCTGTTCATCCACTAACATGGTAGCTTGACTCACTGTATCACAACTGGCTCATAGATTTGTGGGCTGATTGTGAATTGCTTTAACTATGGTGGTGTCTTATTCTTCATAGTATTATGTGACATGATACAGAAATATGCTACCATAAAGTTCTGACCTACAGCATCTACACTTGTGAAAATAACTAACAGAAAATACATGCCTACAAAAACAGCACAGACAATGATGCAAAAGGGAAATTAATGTAATAACTTAAAAACTAGAAACAGATGAAACAACAAAAAGCATCCAAGAACTTAAAAACTAAAAAACAATCAAATATCATCTTGTTTATGTACTTCAATCAAATTTATTATTACCAAACTAAGTACTGTTTTAAAGTTGATGTACAAGTTTTATCCAAATATAAGTGTAGTATATTAAAATACAATACAAACCAGTATGTTGTACAAAGGCATACTGGCCAGTATGTTTTCTTATAATTCTTTGTTTTTATATGTGATCATGATTTTATTAATATTTATTAATAAGCACTAAACCCATGTGGGTTATTCAGCACAAGGAGTGGCAGAGGCTTGATCCTCTGTTCAATAATAGTGGCCTGAACATTAAAATGGTATAAAATACCGACAGGTTGTTAGGTAAGACACGTATGCAACAGTTAGGTATCTTTATTTCGAAACGTTTCGCCTACACAGTAGGCTTCTTCAGTCGAGTACAGAAAAGTAGATAGAAGCAGAAGAGACTTGAAGACGATGTAATCAGTCCATCACCCTTAAAGTTTTGAGGTGGTCAGTCCCTCAGTCTGGAGAAGAGCATAGTTCTGTAGTCTGAAACAATATGGAGTAGAAGTGACAGGATGGAGCTATGTAAGGCTCCATCCTGTCACTTCTACTCCATATTGTTTCAGACTACGGAACTATGCTCTTCTCCAGACTGAGGGACTGACCACCTCAAAACTTTAAGGGTGATGGACTGATTACATCGTCTTCAAGTCTCTTCTGCTTCTATCAACTTTTCTGTACTCGACTGAAGAAGCCTACTGTGTAGGCGAAACGTTTCGAAATAAAGATACCTAACTGTTGCATATGTGTCTTACCTAACAATAGTGGCCTGGTTTCACAAGTCAAGCTGTTGGTGATTGCCTCTATTATGAAATTTATGGAAGCTATATTTAAGATGAATTATAAAAAAAAAAAAGAGACTAGAATTGCAACAGAACACTGCGTCAGTACATTACTGTAACTACGTCTCAGTCCCAATTCTAATCATCCAAGGTTTACATTTCAAATTTTCCATACCTTGAATGTCAAAATTTATTTAAACATTTAAAAGAATCTAGAATAGTTTTAAGAATAAAAAAGTCCTTGTAAAAATTTACTTTTCACTACAAAAATTTTGTAACCCATATTTGTTTAATCTGAGAGGATAAATACTGCAGTGTATGGATGCAGTGTCTTTGGTAAAATAATAAATTACTAATAATACTTAAGTTCCAAATATATACAGAGAGTGTAGTTACTTTACTACAACCAACTAAATTATATAATATATTCACATTTATGTAAGTAAATGTTGCTGGTGCCCAATATAATTCAAAGTTTTATTTTGATATTACCTTAATGTTGTCACTCCATAAAACAATCATACTGTAAAAACGGGCTCTCGTTATCACAAGTGAGAACTGTTGAGTGCAGTACTGGCGTGACAACAAGTGGAAAGCAATCTTAACTGACAAAACAATAAACTCTAAATACATGACTTAATAATGTAAATTAAAAAGTAACATCTTGTTCTAAGACAACATTTCTCACCAAATATTATAGTTCTATCCACAAAATGTTTTTAGTGAAATACATGTACAGTAAGTCCTCTACTTATGAACACATTGAGAATCTTCTGTGTTGTGTATAATATCATTATTGCATATATTATTATTATATCATTATTATACACAATTCAGGAGGTCCCCAATGGGTCCACAAGTTGAGGACTTACTGTACCATATTTATGTTGCCAATGTAGCTAAGCTATCACCACTCGCTCTTGCTCACTGGCAACATACCTTAATTAACCTACCGTATGGACTTGTGAGGAATAACATAACTCAACAGTGTGTACCTTCAACTCAAGTGACGATGGACACTAATATAACAAAATGCTCCAATACAAAACTTTAATGAAGTTATCTTAGTCAAAGTGCAGCCTTTTGGAGAGTCTTCAATAAACTTTTTGAAAATCCATGCAAAATACGCTATCACACCAAACAGAAGAGTGTAATAAACATTTGTCAATGACATAAATGAACCAACCTGAAGAAAAATAAAAAAAAACAGAGGATGAGAATGGTACTGTATATTTTATCCTCACACTGAAGAGGGTCTCAGTGTGTAGGTGAAATATAAAGTACTCCTCTTATACACTGCTTTTCTCCATTTGGGTTTATTTGTACCAAATTATGAGATACTGTGTTTTAATGTGATCAACTTTAATGTGTAATGTGTCTTTATTCAAGAGAGAAACTGAAGCAGTATATGCAAAATTCTTAGTTATCATCCTTGGTCAATTGCACCTGCACTCTACAAGTGTACTTGCACTCTACAAGTGGGCTTGCACTCTACAAGTGGGCTTGCATTCTACAACTGGGCTTGCACTCTACAAGTGGGCTTGCACTCTACAAGTGGGCTTGCACTCTACAAGTGGGCTTGCACTCTACAAGTGGGCTTGCACCCTACAAGTATACTTGCACACACTACTTCTTAATTTAGTTAATCCTTTTTACAAAACATATTGATGACTGACAACTACAACCTGATGTAAATTTATGCTACAGTCATACTACTTGGCTATCCTGGGTTAATAATCCTCCAGGGTTAATAATACAAATGAAGTTATCTTCTATCTTGGTACAGAAACATTAACCTGCTGGAGAAAAAGAACACACTGTAATGACCTATTTGTCTATTTTCAATTACCTATCCGAGTTTGCAGGGAGGCAAAAACTATCTTGTTGGTTCAGCCTTTTTCAATTGAGTGATGCAGATTAACCCTGTCATACCTATCTGTTAACTCCTGTATGGAATCTTCTGTCACTATCATTCATGCCTCAGCTTACTTTACATCTTCAACACACTTAAATTGAAGAAATGAGTGGAATAAACTCCCGAGTACAGTTATTCAGGCTAAAACGTTGTGTAGTTTTAAAAATAGGTTAGATAAATACATGAGTGGGTGTGGGTGGGTGTGAGTTGGACCTGACTAGCTTGTGCTGCTGGGTCTGGTGCAGTGCTACATCCTTGAGTGGAGATGATCAGACTGGGTGGGTCATTGGGCTAATCTGGGAGGGGGGGGGTCATGGACCTGATCCTGATGGCTTTGATGTATCAAGTTGTTTTTTTCAGTCGCCCATCCATACCCACTTTTTTACATGCATCCACACATACTTACATTTTTGCATATAGTCACTCACACAATCACCCATATATACAGTCACCCACATTTACTTGATGCTGCTCATTAATACTTACAATCACCCACCCATAATGACTTTCACTAATAAAAGTGAACATTGTCAAATTATAAAAAATATTAAAAATTAAATAAAAAAAAATGCCTGCTTCAGTGTCCTCCAAACATTGTGTGCACTAATAGTGTTAATCTGGTTATTTTGAAACCCCTTTAACAATATCTAGCCTCAAATATCTTGCCCTTGCATCTATTTATTGTACACATTAATAACCTAAAAATGTTACATGCTTATGTCATAGTCTGAAATATTATGCATGTACAGTAAACAAACTTATCATCTTACTGAATGTTTTGGTTTAACTGTATAACAGGACTTGAATGATGAACTAGCAACACTTTGAGCACTATGGACTATTGAGTTTGAAGGTTACACAAACCACAGCTGAGCAGGAAGTTAACCAAAACTTCTCAAACATTTCTATTTTAGTTTTAAATATAAAGGAATGTCTGCTTAAAATTCTTAAATTTTAATAACACCGGAGTATTTGACTGTGCTGAGAATTCTTCCTGCTGAGCTTCCCAAACACAGCCCCTATAGGACGTCAGAGAGAGTACGTGAGCATCTGGCACAATCAGGCATTAACTACTCTTCTACTCTGGCAAACTCAAAACTACAAGGCAACCCATCCTGAGGTGTTAATGGCAACTAAAAAAATCCTTGCATATAAGTGCTTTAAAACAAATAAATTTTAAGCTGCAACCACTAAAATGAACTCTAAAATATTGAAGCTGAGAGGTTGCTAATATCTACACCTGCATATATTATGAAGGATCATCTTATTCTTTAAAATATTTCAGGACAAGTGTATCTTTAATTGAAGATTTTTTTTATCTTGCCTCATTTAGATTTTAACATGAAAACAATAACAATTACATTAATTTTTAGTATTATAGGAAGAGTCTATTATATTGATGCTTATTGAATGAAATATCTGAATTTGAGAAGAGTGCCAATTTAAATCTTTCAATCTTTCATACTCACTTCCCTCAAGTAGTTAAGGATTACAACCAAAGTTAATAAACTAAAATTTCATTTGAAGTGTGATATTACATTAGTATTTGTGATATCTGAAATTTTTGTTTTTTTGCACATTGCAACAAATTAGAGAATGGGATTATTCTATAAGCAAAGGTGAAGAGAGCCAATGTGAGATCTGCATGAATGCTATACTGTACAAATATGAGCTCATATCAACTTCAATTGAAAATCCTTAACTACTGTTGTTTTGCCCTATAGTGGGCCATGCTGGTCGTGGATCAGAGTTGAGTTACATTGCTCCTCACACTGATTGTCAACTGCTCGCTGTCTTCCACTCGCCAACAAGAAGTTCATGGTTGTGGAAGTCATAATAAGCTGTCATGTGGAACGCCATGTTGGTAAGAACCACTAAATATTCCATGAGGGCAAACACTGAATACACTGAAAATCAGAAACAAATAATGAAAAAAATCATTATTATTTGTGTAGATAAATGATTCAGAGAATTGACACGATGATGAATTACCCACTTGTGCAACACTGACTCCAAGCTAAGGGACTGATTACCTTAAACTCCTTCTCTATATTGGACAGAGGGAGCCACTGGTTGGTGAAATGTTTCCACAGTGCTGCACAAGTATCTAATTTAAAAAAATATTTACTGCACTGTCAAATTTGCCCACACAAACTAAACTGAATGGATACTATCCTGGCCATAAGATGCATCTGCCATTAAATACTGAAGTCACTGATCATAATTAATTACAAGAAAATTAAACTTATAAACTATTTTACATATAAAATGGTAAAATCTGCACCTTCCCACTTGAATTTCACCTTTTTTTTTTTGAACATTTGAAGCCATACAACTGAGGGCTTTGGAAGTTTTTTGAGCCATTCAAGGACGCTGGGAATGGGGTCAACTTTAGTCATAAGGCACCTGCACATGCCTACTGTTCCTAGAATCTGTGCCTAATTACTGTACACAAGTGTTCAAAATTTGAATCTGATAAGATGAGGGGTTCTCAAGTTATGAGCAAAAGAGAATTGAAAAGTTTTGAGGAAGGAAAAAAGTTCAGGCAAATATGTAAGTCTCATTTTAGGGATAACTAATTGACACAGAGGATATATATAGGCTTAGAGTGAGGTGTAATACTAGAGGTAGTAGTAGTATTAATATTAGTTGTAGCAGTAGTAGTAGTAATACAATAAGGTAGAACAATCAACTTGCACATGAGTAAAAGGTGGGTAGCATAAAAATAGTTTAGACAAATATTTGTGGGTGGTTGGACTTGAGAAGGTCTATTTCAGTGTTCCTCCTCTGTTATGTTCTAGTGTAGTATTAGCAGCAGAGACTCTGTGATGGCAGGGTTTACTGTTTTGAAGTACGTATTAGCAAAAATCCTCCTCAAAACAGTAAACCCTGCCATCACATAGTCTCTGCTGCTAATACTAACTAGAACATTGCAGAGGAGGAACACTGAAACAGACCTTTTCAAGTCCAACCACCCACAGAAATATTTGTCCAAACTATTTTTACGCTACCCACCTTTTACTCACGTGCAAGCTGATTGTTCTACCTTATTGTATTACTACTACTACTACAGCTAATATTAATACTACTACTACCTCTAGTATTACACCTCACTCTAAGCCTATATATACACTCTGTGTCCATGTATTGTTTGTAACGGCTTGATAAAGCTTCTGGAGAGCAAAATGTTGCCACAATAAAATGTTGCATTAGAGAGGTGGAATGCTGCACTAGTGAACGAAAGGTGGGATGGACTGGTATGAGTTCTTAAAATAATATGGCACTGGCATTATTAATGTTTAGCTAGAGATTACACATATGAGTGTATACTTACTTCCTGGTTCACAGTAAGTATTATGACGATAAAAGAAGTAGAGTGCAACAAAGAAACATGCCACGTTAGCCGTCATCAGTTGTTTCTGAAATGTGATATAACCTGCTGTTAAAAGATGCTGAAAAGAAAAAAATTTAGTACATACATGTAGTCATAAAAATAATAAATTTTATATAATATGTACACTTTACTACAGGCCTGTGTGTGTGTGTTACATAGGAGTGAAGTCACATGATTTTTGTGATTTAGCAGGCTGTTGGAGTGTGAGCAAGGTAATGTTTATGACAGGATTTAGGGAAACTAGTTAGATTGATCCGAGTCCTGGAGGTGTGAAGTACGGTGCCTGTACCCTGAAGGAGTGGTGGATGTTGCAGTTCAGGTCATGTGAGAAGTGATGTCAGCACACTTCTAGCAAGATAGTGACCAAATGAATGATAGTGAAAGCATTTCCTCTTTCAGATCACCCTACTTCAGTGGGAGATGCTTAGTGTGAAGAAAATCAACTACAGTATGCACAACTCTATGATAATGCTGTAATTAATGGAAGACCATTAATTGCCTAGAAACGTCTTGACCTAAAGTCAAAAATTCCTATTAATATTATCTGTATTGTTATTATTCTTAATCATTCTTCTTTCAACACACCGGCCATATCCCACCGAGGCGGGGTGGCCCAAAAGGAAAAACGAAAGTTTCTCCTTTTACATTTATTTATCTATTTAATGTCTTTGCAAACAGTACACTGAGATTGTGTATATACAATAGTGGGTTGCAATACAAAGAGAACCTCTATTATGCCTTGGCATTATGGGCCAATTTAACATTATTGGCTTACATTCTACTTAATACTAAGAAATAGTATATCATAGTTGTACAGTAGGAAAGTAATTAGTATTTCATAGTTGTACAGTAGAATATTAATTATAAATGAATCAAAATTTGTATAATACAAAGATATATGTATTTATATTCTAAAATGCTTTTGTGAAAAACAATGATTCAATTATATTCCTGTCAACAATGGATAAAAGGTTCAATGTGATTGTTTCAGTTATGATGTGGGAGTACATAGTTGAGTAAATGTGCACTGAGTATTTAGCATTTAGTCTAGGGTGATTAAGTGGCTTTTGAGAAGAGTCTTAAATTGATTTTCAGACTGGGTTACTTTAATATCTTCTGGTAATGAATTCCATATTTTGGGGCCCTTTATGTGCATAGAGTTTTTACACAGTGTGATATGGACACGAGGTATATCAAAGAGAGATCTGTGTCTTGTGTTGTGGTCATGTGTCCTGTTTAGGTTGGTGAGGAAAAGTTTGAGTGGGGGTTTATATTTGCATGTATTGTTCTGTGTATGTAGTAGGCACATGAATAAGTATGGATGTTCTTAATGGTAAGCAGATTCAGACTTTTGAAAATTGGTGGAGTATGCTGGCGGGAGTGGGAATTTGTTATCATTCTTACTGCTGCCTTTTGCTGGGTTATTAGGGGTTTTAGGTGATTTGATGTTGTTGATCCCCATGCACAAATTCCATATGTAAGATAAGGGTATGTGAGTGAATGGTACAGTGCCAGGAGAGCTGATTGTGGAATGTAGTACCTTATCTTTGATAGTATGCCTACAGTCTTGGAGATTTTCTTGGCGATTTGTTGTATGTGTGTCCGGTACTGTCAAGGTGGATACCTAGAAATTTTCCCTCTTTGAGTCTTGTGACTGATGATCCATTTAGCGTAATGTTAATTGGATCATTTGCAGCTTTGTTTCCAAACTGAATGAAATAGGTTTTATCAGTGTTCAGGGTAAGTTTGTTAGTCATCATCCAGGCAGATATTTTCTGTAATTCAGCATTGACTGTGTTTGTTAGTATGACTGCGTTTGGATGGGAAAATACATACGTAGTGTCATCTGTAAATAATATGGGTTTGAGTAGCTGTGATGCATTCGGTAGATCATTGATGTAGATGAGAAAGAGGAGTGGTCCAAGGACACTTCCTTGTGGGACTCCTACTGTGATTGGTTGAGTGGATGAGTTTGCATCATTTGCATACACATATTGAGTTCCGTTACTAAGGTATGACTTTAGGTAGTTGAGGGAGTGGCCTATGATACCATAGTGCATTAATCTGGAGTACAGTAGTTCATGGTCGACTGTATCGAAAGCTTTACGTAAATCAATGAAAATGCCCAGCAGGACTTCTTTCTTTTCAAGTGCGGTATATATTAGTTCTAGCATGTGTATGATAGCGTCATTTGTGCTTTTATTCCTGAATCCAAACTGACAAGGGTTTAATATGTTGTGTGAAACGAGGTAGGAATAGATCCGTCTATGAATTAATTTTTCAAAGATTTTAGAGAGCAGTGGTAAGTTAGATATTGGTCTATAGTTATTCAAGTCAGCTTGGTCACCTCCTTTATGGATCGGAGTGACCCTCGCTATTTTGAGGATTGTTGGGAAGGTAGATGATTCAATGGATTTGTTAAAGAGCGTTGTAATAATTGGTGACAATACTTGAGAAGCTTTTTTGTACATAAAAGCAGGCAAGTTGTTTATGTCTCCTGCCTTGTTTTTAAGGGTGTTTATGATGAGCACAATTTCAGTGGGGTTGGTTGGAGCTAGGAATAGCATATTTGGATAGGTTCCTATGAGGCAGTCTGATGGACGGGCGTTTGTGCTTGGCATTTTGTTTGCTAGATTTTTTCCTATGCTGGAGAAGAAAACATTAAGTCTGTTTGCTGTTTTGGTTGAGTGAGTAGGGGTTCATCTGATTTTGTTAGTTTGATTGCTTTGCTTTTGGATAACTTTTTAGTTCCAAGAATTTCAGATAGAGTTTCCCAGGTTTTTTTCATATCACCTTTGATGTTATGTAATCTAGTTTCATAATACAATTTTTTTGACCTTCTTATCAGTCTGGTAAGTGCTGACGAGTAATTTCTCGACTGTTCTCTAGTTATTTGACCCATTCTATACTGTTTTTCATATTTGTGCTTTGTGTTAATAGATTTGAGGATGCTTGGTGTTAGCCAGGGATTATTCAGTCTCTTTGCTGTGATCTGTTTAGTTTTTCTGGGGCAATGTCTGTTATAGAGGCATTGGGTTCCCGGCATTTTAGTCGCCTCTTACAACACGCATGGCTTACGGAGGAAGAATTCTGTTCCACTTCCCCATGGAGGTTAGAGGAAATAAACAAGAACAAGAACTAGAAAGAAAATAGAAGAAAACCCAGAGGGGTGTGTATATATATGCTTGTACATGTATGTGTAGTGTGACCTAAGTGTAAGAAGAAGTAGCAAGACATACCTGAAATCTTGCATGTGTATGAGACAGAAAAAAAAGACACCAGCAATCATACCATCGTGTAAAACAATTACAGGCTTCCGTTTTACACTCACTTGGCAGGACGGTAGTACCTCCCTGGGCGGTTGCTGTCTACCAACCTACTACCTAGGAATATTATTATTATTATCGTATTTAGAGGGAAACACTAAACACATAAGGGTCATAATATGCCTGGGAAATGGGATGTATTCAGGTTTGATCCAAAGACTGAAGAACAGTTCCAATTCCAAAGCTCAAGAGCTCCTCACTGGCATCAAGGGCCTTTGGTGAGTGGATTCATAAAGGCAAAAAGCACTTAGTAATTACATTTAGAAATCTCTATACCAATATTATTTCCTACAACTTTAAAAAAAAATTGTCATCGATTCACACATTTCATAAAGTAAAAAACAAAGGTTTATCATTTTCTTTGGGCTCCATATTTGATCCTTTTAAAGGAGGGCAAAATAAATGTATTATCTAGCATATTTTCACGGTAGGAAAAATCTTTTGAGACAGATGATCACATGAAAACTATCAACCTGATTAAGATGAATCATAATTTATCTCATGTAACTTTAGACACAAAGTTGATCTTATGGACTGATTGACTAATGATTTATCTTTTCTTCTTCATGTTGGCCCTGGAGTGGACCATAATCATGCAGAGGCTTAATATCTGATTATGGGAGGATAGTCCATTAATTAATGAAAGAATAGGCTTACATCTTTTTTGGCAAGTCAGCCGTCTCCCAGTGAGGTGGCCAACGTGCTGAAAAAATTTAATGTCTAGTCAGTAAGTAGCAAAAAAACAGGGCCTATTGAAAAGGTATTTGGCTCCAGTAAAATAAATGATAGGTTTGATATTTTATTATGAGAAAGTTAAGAGAAATAGTTACTTAGGACACAGCCGTTAATAATTTTGAAGATTATCATCGCTTGTCCTAGGTAGTAGGTTGGTAAACAGCAACCGCCCAGGGAGGTACTACCGTCCTGCCAAGTGAGTGTACAACGAAAATCTGTAATTGTTTTACATGATGGTAGGATTGCTGGTGTCTTTTGTCTGTCTCATAAACATGCAAGATTTCAGGTATGTCTTGCTACTTCTACTTACACTTAGGTCACACTACACATACATGTTCAAGCATATATATATACACACCCCTCTGGGTATTCTTCTATTTTCTTTTTAGTTCTTGTTCTTGTTTATTTCCTCTCATCTCCATGGGGAAGTGGAGCAGAATTCTTCCTCCGTAAGCCATGCGTGTTGTAAGAGGCGACTAAAATGCCGGGAGCAAGGGGCTAGTAACCCCTTCTCCTGTATAAATTACTAAATTTAAAAGAGAAACTTTCGTTTTTCTTTTTGGGCTACCCTGCCTTGGTGGGATACGGCCGGTGTGTTGAAAGAAAAAGATCATCGCTTGTGGCCTGATCACAGATTAAGCCTTATACATGTACATGTAAATGGTAAAGAAAATATTATAGGAATAAGAACTATTAAGATAAACACAGGACAGTAAACCTAAGTGTGTACAATGAATATAAGAAGTCTGTAAGAGTTGCCTGCCATTCTGTGTGCTCAAGAGAAAGAAAAAATATCCAGTAATCTTGCCAACATGCAAAACATTAAGAAGGCTTCCATCTCACACTTGTATGACAGGATGGTAATACCTCCCTGGGTGGTTGTTGTTTACCTACCCTCTACACAATCTTGTTAGAACACTGCTGCCTCTGAGACAGTGCTGTATTTCAAGTAATACAGGTTATG